TGCTGTAGAGAGTTATGGGAAATCTACTCTAGATCATTAGATATCAGACTTTGACTTTTCTCCCTGGGCCTCCCAGAATCCCATACCAGCTTCCCAAATTAGAGGGAAAATATGGCCGCATTTCTAACATTTTCCAGATCTAGCAGATCTTTGCCGTATACACAGCCCATGCTCGAGGGGTCCTCACTGGATTTCATGAAGACATGGGCCTTCTGTGTATATTTTGATTTGTATCCTAGTTTATTTCATCACAGTTCCTATGCCCTAAGTCTGTAGTTAGTAACATCTTCTTTTCCTGTTTCTTTTATCTTTGAAGCTGTGACCAGCCCTCCTACTCTTCTGGCGGTTGACTCTGTGACGGACACCACTGTGACGATGAGGTGGCGGCCCCCAGACCAGATCGGTGCCGCAGGCTTGGATGGCTATGTGCTAGAGTATTGCTTTGAAGGAAGTAAGTACAACTCGCAGTTAAAACGAGTGCCGTCCTCACTAGGTGAGATGTGGTCCCCCTGTCTTTTGTTTTCTTAAGAACTCATCTCCTTCTTACTGAAAATGACAACCAGCCAAAATCGTCTTCCTAAGATGAATAAAAATTTGGCTCCTCTTTGGCACTTGAAGCTAAAAGATGGAGATCTTAGAAATATCCTAGCAAGGTGGCCAGATGGGATGACACAACAGATCAAAGACAGAGGAGGAAGTGTTTCTGACAGAACTTCAGGGACTTCCACTTCTTGAATGGGTGGAATTAAATTGTACCAAAGCAAAACAAAAGTCTAGCTAGTTGGGATGGAAACAAGTTGAAAATTCTAAACCCTACACTGAGCAGAACTATCAAAAGAGCTGCCTATTTCTGGTATAGGAGAGATGAAATGTTTGGCTATCTGGTGATCATCCCCTGCCTTCTTAAAGGAAAAAAAGGAGAAGAAAATTTAAAGACGACTTTCACTGTTTAAAGGAAGCAGCATTAAATCCCAGAAGGTGTAAGAAATAGGTCCAACATATGACAATAACTTGTCTGAGGGCTTGGGTATATAAAAATTTAGTTTTTTAGATAGTTTCTAGTAATTTTTAAGTAATGTAATTTAAGAAATACACACAATACACAATTACTGATGGGAACAATAGAAAAAGGGAAGCTGACACACAAAAAAGTGACCAGGGTGTATCTAAAACCAAAAAAGATAATGACCTTCGCTGAAAGCCTCTTGTGATTTTTTGATTTCCTGCTTGTCATGATCTGAAAATGGGTGTGTAAGACTGCCCCAGCTCTCGATTCGGGCTCCACTCTAAGTGATGGTAGGTAAACAATCCACCAGGGAAGCTTGTTCTTATCTCCACATAAGACAGCCTCTAAGAAAACACTTTGGACCCCAAACTTCAGCGTGGATCGTACATGAAGGAAAGAGAGTCTGCAGAGCACATTTGGGAAATCTGGAATGTAAACACAAATACAGTTCCCTGGGAGAAGAAATCTCTTATGAAGAGAAGCTGTTGAAAAAGAAATCCCCAGACCCCTGGACCGGGGCCCCTATGGAAACGAGCACCGTGGGTGGGGCAGGAAGAAGGAGGAGCATGAGGCACCCCGTAACACTCAGTTCCATTTACATGCACTTGACTCCATTTGAGTTTTCCAGGGCTTAGGAAGCCACTAACCAAAAGCAATGGAGACAGAAGAAAGTTTCCAGAGTCCCCAGCATGGGGGTGCGGGGGGTGCGGGGGCGGGGGGCGGAGCGTGTCACTAATGCGATAGGTAAATTCATGAACACTTCGAAATACAGTTTATTCCCATTTCATCCCCCTCCTCCCTATTCGAAAAAATCATGAGCTCTCCACTTTGTTATTTATATCACCCAGCCAGCTGAATTTCCCAGTCTTATATGTGATGTGGCTGCTGAACACCACCTTTTTGTGTATGTATGACACAGAGCAAATTCTTTACTCTTTTCTTTCTGATAGGTTTAAAAAGTAAGAAGATACAGCAAAATGATAGATGGCTGTCATTTTGATGTTACCCACCTTAGATAAAATACAACGAAGTGTATTTTACATAATTCTGTGTGTGGTCCGTGTAGATATGTATGTATATATGTATATACATATGTATATGTACACAGTCATTATTATGTATATATTTTGCCACATAACGTTTTGGACTTAGCTTTCTATGGAAGTTCTTTCATAACGTGTATATCTTTCTTCTTGCAGTCTTTTCTTATTTATGTGGCTGCCCTATTCTTCATTCTCTTTTAATGGCTGTTGTCCTCCAGACTAATTTTTTGTAGTGTTTAATGCTTTTCGATATGTCAGGTTTTATTCTGTCAAGAGAATTCTTTCTTTTTATAAGATCGTGTGTTGGTTTTGACTCTGTCTTTCTCTTGTTTTTTTTTAATGCCTGCAGCATTTTACTCTTCCTTGTTTTCTTCCTTCACTCTAGTTCTTTCTTTCTTCCTTAAAAATTCTCCTCTTGATTTAAATAACCTTCATATTCCTTCTCCATCCCCCAACACCATTTTCTTCCTCTCCCTCAATTAAAATGGTGCAAATGTGAAAGGGTGGGCTGTTTTGTTCCCCTCTGATCTTGTTTCATCCTGTTTCCTCTCGAACTTTTCCCATTTCGAGTTCTTCACTCTTTTGTGCACGTTTTCTCAGTCTCCTGTTTTCTCTTTCTCATCAACTGTCTCTTCCCTATGAAACTGTCAACACCGTAGCTCCCAATCTGACCATCAGCTTAAAGATGTATCTGTTTCAAAGTCCTAAGTAATATTTATCATCCACTTGCCCTCCCAGCCACCAGGGTATTTTGGTTTCCTTGTCGCTGTTATTCCTAGAAGGGATGGAATAAGAGGAGAAGGTTTCCAGAGTGGCTGGTCCAGTCCCATTCCCCTGCTCCTCTCCTGATAACCTGGAAAGTCATCATCCCAAGCCAGTGGGTTATGCCCACAACCACCCTGCGAGCCAGCTCCGTTCCCTCCACCTGTGCGGAATGCAGGGGCCCAGGCAGGCGCAATTTGTTTCCTTGACCCAGAGTTCCTTGTCTGCCACCAGGAGCTGCCTCTCTCCAGCGGCTGGTAAGACAGGCTGGTCTTACCATGAGGGCCAGCCTCTGATGCATGAGCCCTACAGTGGGAACACTGCATTCCCTGGAGACCCGAGGACCGTCCCAGCCTGGGGTGACAGGGACAGGAGAAAGGACGGCCTGTTCCACTGTGTGCTTCTCCCCTGTGGAGTCCGGGCCCCGCTCCTCCTTTCTCTTTAGGGTCTTAGTTTGTTCCTCTCTGCCTCTTGCTCCCACAAGCCGGAGGTGCCCCAGCCTCCTTTCTCTTCTCTGTGGCAGGCGCCTCAGCACAAAAACCACAGCCTGAACAGAGCAGGCTGTGCCTCTCCTGAGGAACTCCCCCCTCTAATGTGTTTGGTCTCTTCCGTCACTGCTCTGAAGACAAATCTTTGCATACTTTGCATACTTTACTAACAGAGAATGCTGACTACTGATACGATATTCTTCTGGTGTGAAAGTGGGTGTCTGTAATTAATTTTAATGACGGATTCTCAAAGGTACATCAGCCAAACAGTCTGATGAAAATGGGGAGGCTGCATATGATCTGCCAGGTAAAGTACACTCTATGAAAGCTCTCAAGCTTTCTTACTATATGATAAAGTTTCTGGGAATGACACATGAAGTACACCCACCACCTACACACAGAAAAGCCCTTAGAGCTGGAGGCGGAGGGTGGGCAGTGAGTTAATAATGTGGGATCCTAGCCTTGTTTCTTTTCCTGTAGGCATAATGTATATAAACTTTCAGAAGCTGAAATATTTGTAAGCCTGGATGCTGGGTTTAAGCTCTCTTGATGTTGTAGGCAAAGATATGAAAAGCTTTAAAATAAAACAAAATGTTTTGATTGAAGTGAATTCCTTATGAGGGCTTGGCTCCTGAGCTGTGGTTCCTCTTTACTGTGGATATAAGCTGCTTTCTTTCATAAGTGGGAGCATAATGGGGGCATAATGGAATCATTAGATTCCCTATGCTCATATTAATGTCTCATAATAATAAACTGGCCGAGATAAAACACTATATGACTATAAAGGTCAGTGGCTCTCATTCTTAAGAAATGCATTTTCCTGTTTTGCTGAACTTTGATGTATATAGATGGCTTGATATCATGGTTACATCACTCATTACACAACTGAATTGGAATAAAACTGCAAAATTCTTGGGGACAGCTACTATGTACTGTAAGAGTTTTTTTTTTTTTTTTCCAAAATACCAGAAACTGACTGTCCTCTTTGTTATTTACATTAGCCATTTGAGGCCATTTTTCATTTAAATATGAAAAATGCCCACCCATCCAGTCTGAGTCCAGAACAAAGTTGTATTTCCTTCAAATGTTTTGATTACAAGTACAGTATTAATTTGGAGTTGGCTGTACCAGTTAGGATGATTTCTCTCACTCACCGCCATTCCTTCCTTTCTTTTTCTTTTACGGATTTTAGCTGAGGACTGGATAGTTGCAAACAAAGATCTGATCGACAAGACCAAGTTTACCATCACAGGTCTGCCCACGGATGCCAGGATCTTTGTGCGCGTGAAGGCTGTGAACGCCGCCGGCGCCAGCGAGCCCAAGTACTACTCTCAGCCCATCCTTGTGAAGGAAGTCATAGGTAGGCAGCAAGCCTCTCAAAACTTTGTCTCCAGCTCACATTATGTATTTGCTTATTTTTTAAATCCCTTTCTTTCTCAAAACCTCTTATTTTGCTGTCACTCCTTTGATATTTTCTTAATGCTTCCTGGGAGCTAAAAGTGAACAAAACATCACTTTTCAGACAGTGTGGGACAGCAGCTCGGGGTTTATAACTTGGTAGGAGGACCAGTTCGTTAGCCTCACCAAGTTCTGTGGGCTGCTCTGGCTGCGCTCACTGGGAAGAAGGAGAGTGTGTGGATGCGGCCATGCAGACCGTCCCTACGTCAGCAGCATGGCTCAAATGGGTCTGCAAGGTCAAACCACCTTCATAATAAGATGAACACATGATTTGCTCATTTCCATGTTTGACATCGGCACTGATGGTACAAAAGCCATGGTGGTGAGTAAAGCTGCTGGTGCCTCAGCATAAATGAAGTCAATGCCACCAAAATGTTTGAGCTGTTGCTATTTTCCTCACCACCGTGCACGCTCAGTTAAAATAAAAGGGTCAGTTCTGCCTTGGAGTGTTCTTGATGAAGCATAAAAATTATTCGGTTTATTAAACCTTGGTTCTTGAGCACACATTTTTCCTGCACTCTGCGTGACAATGAAATACAAAGTATGGATAAGGCCCTTACGCTGCATACCGCCCCACAGTGGCTGTCTCTGGGAACAGCACCTGTGCCACTGAGTTACAAGCTGAACTAGGGAGTTTTTCATGAAATTCCCTTTTATAATTTAATTGAATTTTTTATTGCAGTATTGTTGATATACAGTCTTATATTGGTTTTCAAGTACACAGCACAGTGACCAAATTACATTATGATTGAGAATTTTTGTTCCCCTTATCCCCTTTGCCCTCCCCCATGGTAACTACCAGTCACTTCTTTGTGTCTATGAGTCTACCACTACTTTGTTCATTTTGTTTTGTTTTGTTTTTATATTTCATAAAAATAAGTGAAGTCATATGGTATTTGTCTTTCTCCACCTGGCTTGTTTCACTTAGCATAATGCCCTCTAGTTCCATCCATGTTGTTGCAAAAGGCAGGATTTCTTTCTCTTTTTTGAATAATATTCCATTGTCCACCTCTTCTTTATCCATTCACCTACTGATAGACACTAAGGTTGCTTCTATAACTTGGCTATTGTAAATAACACAGCGATAAACATTGGGATACATGTATCTTCCATGAAATTCCATTTTTACTTGAAAGAATGACTGGGCATTTGGCAGACTTTTTCTAGAAAATGTCACTTCAAGGAAATCAGTTTAATGTATTTGTTGTTAACCTGGCAATGAAAAAATATTGATCTTTCAAGTAAAAATTCGAATTTTGGAAAACTTATATATACCACCATGGACCTGACAGGTCCTAATAGTTAAAAACTTTGCTGATGAAATAGCTGGTGATGTTAATGAATGTGACTTTTTTGATATTGAATAATGGAATGTGTCAATATTTGGAAGATTTGCATGATTCAGTAAAGCAGTATTTTCCAAATGATCCATACAGGTTAAAAAAATCACGCGTGGATAAAATGCTAGTTAGACCAATGGATTTTAATGTAACAGTGTGAAAAGTTCATTGAAATGGTTTCACATTCCACACTGCAGCTAACCTTTAAGAAATTACAGTTTATTGTATTTTAGTGTAGAAACAAAGAGGAATATCCACAATTTTCAAGAAGCTTATTAAAGTATTCCCCATCTCAGATTTTCTTCATATTCTTCAACCGGTATAACATACTGCAACAGACTGAAGGCAGAAACAAATACAGGAGTCCAGCTATCCTCTCTTAAGTCAGACATTAAAGAGATTTGCCAAAATATAAAATAATGCCATTCATGTCACTCATTTTTTGTTAATATAAAATATGGTTGTCTCCATTAAAATGGTATTTACACATTATTTTTAAATGAATAAATATCTTTAAAGTACTCAGTTTTAATTTCTAATATGGTAAATATTAATGAATTCAGTCCACATAAACAAAAGCTGAGAAAAAGCTTTTTCTTTTTTTTGGAAGCAGGGAAAATCCTTGATAATTAAGAGTGTGATAGGGTACTGAGACCAAAGAGTTTGAGAATTGCAGTTCCAGGGGAAGGATCACTGGACTGGAGGCCTGGATATCTGGGTTCCAGACCATGTTCTGTTACAGATTCATGGTGTGGCTGCCTAAAACCTTTGGGAGTGAGTGAGGAAATGGATGGATGGATGGATGGAAGAAAGCATGAAGTGTTCACATTTCCCTAGAAGATTCTGGAGACTTAAGTCGAATCCTATTTCCATCATTTACTAGCTATTTGACCTTGGACAAGATACTTGATCTTTCTGAGCCTTAATTTCTTCATCTGCAGAATGGAAAAATAACAGTACTTACCACATCAGGAGGTTGTGAGAAATAAACAAATTAATCCATGTTTCTTGCTTAACAGTGTTTGGCCCAGAATATGTGTCAGCTTTCTGATGATAATTTAATTTGCTGCAGAATCTTGCACAGTCTCCTTTTCGCTGGATGTAAAAGTAGGGAATTAGAGCACCTCCATCTTCTCTTCTCCAAGACTCAACAGCCATCATCATCATTATCACCTCCTCAAGTTTGTTGGGCATTTACTATTCTCAGCCATTATGCTAAATGCTTTACAGATAAACTTATTTAGTTCTCACAACCATACTACGAATCAGGTGCTCTTATCATCCTGATTTTTCAGAACAGGAATCTGAGACCAGATCTGCTACCTGTCTGATCTGGGACTCAAACCTGAATCTCAGATCCGAAGTCCATGCTTCTAAGCAGAGCATAGGCACTGGAGGCTGTCTCCAGGATCTGATCCTGGCTGTGACATCGAAGGCAAGCCACTTCACTGCCCATGCTTCAGTTTCTTTACCATAAGTAAAACAATAGCTACCCCATAAAGTGACTGTGGGGTTTAAATTAATCCCTTGATGAAAAACATTTAGCCCCATGTCTGCCACCTGCTCAGCACCGGAGTGATGAGACCTATTTCATCACTGGGAGCCTGGGAGCCTTAGACTCCTGGCTCCGCATGGGTTTGCAGCCCCATGTGCTAATATCTTCAAGGTGTTTAATTAAGGAACCTCAACACACAGTGGGCTAAGGGCGCACTTCATGATGTACTTCGCCATAGCCACACTATCAAATTCCAACAGAATTACCGAAATAACAAGTGCTAGGTGCTAAAACGTTTTTGTTTTTATTTTGTTTCTGGTAAGAAAAAATGGGCAGTCCTACCTACTAATGTGGTGCCTGTAGACCATTTATGGAATGTTCACTGGAGAATATACTTGTGAAAAACTATGAAAAAAAATACATGAGGGGGCCTAAGAGAAAATTTGGTGTTTTTCTGTAATGCTGCTTTTAGGCTTCCAAGGACAATAAAAATAAGAAGTTACAGTAAAATCAAGGGAGTCAAAAATGAATTTTGTTGAGTCATCTCTGCTTGAAGAAAACATTGGAAACCAAAGTCATTGTACATAATCTGTTATGCCAGTAGCCTGAGCCCTGAGCACAGGGCTGTCTCAGTGAGCTTAAGCCAGTGTGCTTATGCAAGGCTATTTGCAGTTCACTATGCTGATCACAAAATTATGCTATTCTGCTCTCACTCAGAGGCTCCAAAGATTCGCATCCCAAGGCACCTGAAGCAAACTTACATCCGCAGAGTTGGAGAAACCGTCAATCTGGTTATTCCTTTCCAGGTAATAATGCAGGGGTCACTCATTTTCTCTTTCCAGTGTGGAGTGTTGAAGATGCAGCTCCACAGGCAGGGGTTTGATGTGTGTCTTCAACATCCCTTCTATTAACCTATCAACAAGCCACAGCAGGAGCCCATAGGAAGGCTATGCCTTTCCTGACTGAATAGATGCTTGGTTCCTGTCTGCAAGGGGAGCATGTGTGCACGGGAATCCTGGGAAGCTCCTTTGTAATATAAACTGAAGCTCATTTCTGAATGGAGGATAACTTCTCAAAGTCTTCTCTTAAAGAATAATTCTAGCAGCTAGAAAGAGCGGAGAGAGAATTATAGACAAGTCTGAAACAAGCAGTACGATACAGTAGAGTACTATTTACATTGAGGTGATAGTAACAGAGTGCATGTAGTGTGCAGAAGCTCCTAAGAAATTCAGTCTTATTTTTTTATTGACGTATCATTGATACACAATATTATATTGGTTTCAAGTATGCAACACAGTTACCCACATTATTAAATCCTCACCCCCACTAGTGAGGTTACTACCTGTCAACATTGGAAGATGTTACAGAATCACTGTCTGTATTCTCCATACTGTACTACTATACCCATGACCATCTTATATTATGATTGAGAATTTTTGTGCCCCTTTTTCCCCCTCATCCTCATCACCCACCCATGGTAACCACTAGTCGCTTCCCAGTGTCTATGAATCTACTGCTATTTTGGTCATTTTGTTCTGTTTTTAGATTCCACCAATAAATTAAATTGTATGGTATTTGTATTACCCCACCTGGCTTATTTCACTCAGGATAATACCCTCTAGATTCATCCATGTTGTAGCAAATGACAGAATTTCTTTCTTTTTTAAGGCCGAATAATATTCCATTGTGTATATGTACCACCTCTTTTTATCTATTCATCTATTGATGGACACTGTCCTCACCAACACTTGTTATTTCTTATCTTTTGGATAGTGACCATTCTAACTTGTGTGAGGTAATATCTCATTGTGATTTTGATTTGCATTTCCCTGATGATTAGTCACGTGGAACATCCTTTCATGTGCCTGTTGGCCATCTGTATTTTTTCTTTGGAGAAGTATCTGTTCTGGTCCTCTGCACATTTTTCAGTCAGGTTATTATTTGGGTTTTTTTTTTTTTGGTGTTGAGGCATATGAGTTCTTTATATATTTTGGATGTTGACCCCTTATCAGAGAAATCATTCACAAATATATTCTTCCATACTGTAAGATGCCTTTTTGTTTTTCTGATGCTGTCCTTTGTTGTACAGAAGCTTTTTAGCTTGATGTAGTTTGTTCATTTTTTATTTTGTTTCCCTTGCCCAAGGAGGTATGTCCAGGAAAAAAATTCCTCATGCTTACGTTCAAGAAATTTTTGCTTATGTTTCCTCTGAAAGTTTTATGGTTTCATGACTTACATTCAGGTCTTTGATCCATTTTGAGTTTACTTTCTGTGTATGGAGTTAGACAGTAATCCAGTTTCATTCTCCAGTTTTTCCAACACCAGTTATTGAAGAGACTTTCTTTTCCCCACTGTATATTCATGAGTCCTTTATCCTATATTAATTGACCATATGTACATGGGTTTACATATGGCTCTCTCTATTCTGTTCCATTGATCTATGATGGTTCTGTTCTTGTGTCAGGATCACACTGTTTTGACTACTGTAACTTTGTAGTATAGCTTGAAGTCAGGGAGTGTAATACCCCCAGCATTGTTCTTTCTCACAATTGTTTTGGCTATTTGGAGTCTTTTGTGGTTCCATATAAATTTTAGCATTATTTACTCTAGTTCATTGAAAAATGACATTGCTATTTTGATAGGAATTTCATTGAATTTGTAAATTTCTTTGGACAGGATGGCCATTTTGACAATATTAATTCTTCCTACCCATGAGCATGGGATAGATTTCTATTTATTGGTGTCTTTTAAAATTTCTCTCAGAGTTTTCAGAGCACAGCTCTTTCACCTTTTTGTTTAGTTTTATTCCAAGGTATATTATTCTTTTTGATGCAGTTATAAATGGAGTTATTTTCCTTATTTCTTTCTACTAGTTCATTGTTGGTATATAGGAAAGCAACAGATTTCTGTGTATTAGTTTTGTATCCTGCAACTTTGCTGAATCCAGTTATTAGTTCTATAGTTTTTTGATGGAGTCTATAGGGTTTTCTATATATAATATCATGTCATCTGCACATGGTGACAGTTTTACTTCTTCCATACCAATCTGGATGCCTTTTTAAAAATTTTTTATAAAGATACAATTGATATACACTCTTATGAAGGTTTCACATGAAAAAATAATGTGGTTACTACAGTTACCCATATGATCAAGTCCCCATCCATACCCCAATGCAGTCACTGTCCATCAGTGCAGCAAGATGCCACAGATCCACTATGTCCCTTCTCTGTGCTACACTGTTCTCCCCGTGATCCCCCACACCATGTGCACTAAACATAATACCCCTCAATCCCCTTCTCCCTCCCTCCCCACCTGCCTTCCCACACCCTTCCCCTTTGGTAACCACCAGTTCATTCTTGG